AAATTTTGGATAATTTTATAATTGCGTGAGAAAAATTTTCGTTTCGCTTAAATAATTCTCGAGATATGGCGAAATGCGCAAAAGGAAAATTTATATTAGGGTGTTTAAACTTTGGACCGCTCTCCTGGGCAAACTAATGGGACTATATTTCCCAGAGTGCGGCTCTGCCCTATATTTTGAGGGTCAGAAATCCAAATCCTACTGATCATTCAGTCAAAAGTTATTCAGAATAGTCTTTTCTTTTGCACACTTTACATACGTAGGATGCAGTTAATTATATAATTATTGAAAATAAAGTAACTTATTCTTACAAAATGATAATAAATATCGAACGTTTCGTTCACCATAACAATCAAATGAATTTATTCTCGGAATGCTTCTCGAAATCCCTTAAAATTGGGGCCCAGAAGAGCTTCCCCGAAAATCAGATAAGATCAGACAGGTTTCCTGTTCAACCTTCACAGGAATTTTGACATCTGAGATCAGGTTTTAGGGATTCAAGCATTCCAGATACGTTTTCTATCATGAATTTAGGTTTGTTATCTTCCTTTCTTCTATTTTGTTTGCTATCTTTTCAGAAAAATAAAATGCTATTCAGTTAAAAATTGTAAGTTTGTTGAGATCAAGAAATGGATCATGAATTGAGTGAGTATCGTTCATTTCATAATTCTAAGTTTGGTGATCAAAAAAAAATGAGCCATGAATTGAATAGCTTTGGCCGCAATTTTTTACTTGCTGGTAAGAGATGTTAAAAATAAATTACTACAGTCAAACCCCGTTATAAGGAATACAGTTTATAGTGAACTCCCGGATACAGTGAACGAAATGTTCGCTCCCGTGCCTTGCTATGCACGTATAATATTATTTTTATGGATATAGTGAACCAAAAGAACAGATGAAATTGGATATTGCGAACTTTTTTCTGTCTTCGACTGATTTATTTTTATTTTTTGGTAATTTTGAAATTTCTGCAAGACATATCGAAATAAAATACATAAACCGAATTTTTAAAACCACCTATTGAGCGGAATGTAGCCATAAGATTTTTTTTCTTGTTTGCTTCTTCTACCTTAGTTTCTCATCCCTAAATAAAGGTCATCCCTAAATTTTTTGTACGCAAGACGAAGAGTAATAAAAAATAAAAGTTAACAAATTTTTTTGTTACAACATATTGTTTAATCATTTTCGTATTTTTTTTCATTGGTCGTTTATTTAAGTAATGTGTAATAAAAGGGAGCAGTTCGGAAAAATTAGTTAAAATCGTTTGCAGTATGGATATAGTGAACTCCCGGTTATAATGAACTGATATTTCGGTTCTTTGAAGGTTCACTATAACGGGGTTTGACTGTATTTTAGAGAAGGGTTCATATTTTCAATGAACTACTTACTGTTCAGAAGAAATAATTAGCGCTCTAAAGTTTTAAAAAAACAACGATCTATGAAAACTTCATATAAAAAGCAAAATTTTTTTTCTCGAAAATAATGAGTGAGAAACCACGTTTAAACAAGATTTTTATTTACATTTTTCGTTATACATCTTATAATGATCACGAATAAAATATTTTTCGTTATTACGTAAGAACTTGCGAAATACTCNTAAATCCTTTAATAACTTAGAAGATTATTATTTATTTCATCAAAATTTCCAAAAATCAGAAAATATCAAAAAATGGACTTAACCGCATTGGCTTCTGAGCGGCTCATATATCTTAATAATGATCACGAATGAAATATTTTTCGTTATTACGTAAGAACTTGCAAAATACTCAAATTAACGTACTTTAAAAACAGTTATTAGTGTATATTGCTTTTTTTAAACGATCAAAAATCCTTGAAATATACTTTTTTTCAGTCATTTTAACTAGAGTTCTTACCAAAATTAGTAATGATATGCGTACATAATTATTTTTGGTGAGAAAATTAAAAGAGAAAAAAAAAAGATTTACCGAATTTTTTTAATGTGTATTATCGGTATAAATTCAGATTTAATGCAAGAGATTAGATTCCATAAGATTTCACTGAAGGTTATAAAAACAAAAAAAGCAGTAATTTTTGCATCGTTTAAAGTTTGTGGAACAATAGTCAATCGAATTTGTATTGATTTGAGCAATATTGATTTCATATATTACTATAGTTTGTAATGATTTATTTTTGAATCTATCTTAACTTCTGTCCTAATATTTCATGACAAAAAAAAAATTTATGATATTTATTGATAACGATAAAAATAAAGCATAAAACATTTCTCGCTCTTGACGAAAGTGTTTCCTAAGAATTTTTCCGAGCTAACATTTCGTTTAATCTACTTATTACTATTTTCACTTATGTGAGGATGTGAATTTCATCAACTCATGAACTCGCCATTAGGTTTAATGCTGCATATTAACACAATAGAAATTGATTTAGAAATGCAACATAAAGAAGTTTCAGCTATTGGGACAGGACTTGGACCAGGAACGAACGAGTGCTCTTAACTTTGTACTCTCAAGTAATACAAAGCATATGCTTTTTTTTGTTGAAATGATGGTTAATTTTCCTGTTTGCATTGAGATGACACACGAGTGAGTGAAAATTTCGTCAAGCATTTTAAAGTTTACGTTTCGTCAAAAATGATGAATCATCAAAAACGAGAGTTTCATTTCTGAGAATGTAGTTTCTCTAAAATATCTTAAAATGAGTTTTCAAGCTTTTTATTGCCAAAAGATATTATCCAAAATGTAGATAAAAATGTTAAAAAAATAAATAAAAAAAATATATTTTTTTAATGAAAAGGAAAAGGCATGTGAAGACACTTCTTTAAGTTGCCAATTATTTTCCGTCAATAAACTGTAAGCTGTTCCAAATTTATCAGGTAATTTTAATTTACATATCATTCCGTATTTACACCGCTCAATATACACGATGAGGTATGTTCACACAAGAGAACGCAAATGATTATCTAAGCATGGAGAAAAATACCACCGAGATGTAATGAATCACTACTAAGGAAAGTGGTAGTCCAGTGGTTAGAGCATCGAACTTTGGCCCGGAGAGCTTAGGGTTCGAAGCAACTAAGACCTACCCAGTGCATGTAGTATACGTGCTCGTAAAATCTGTGGAATCAAAAGGCATCTGGTCGGTTGCTGAGCAGCTCCATGGATAAAGGGATCTGGATAAAATTTCCTTCCCCTCCAAGCCTTAAGTCTAAATTGAAGTAGCCTCACAAATGAGAGGCGCTCCAATCTATCTGAGCAAAGTTGAACTTCCACTTTAGCGGCGCTTTTTTTGTACGAAAATAATGAAATATTGCTCTGAACTCGCCATGCTAATGGCTGACTAGCTTGATTTGTCCAAGTGTTACTAGAAACAACAATTAAGGAAATCGGAACTGAAGGTACTAAAACCTGTTAGATTGAAAGACGATTATTAGAATGTGTTGTTTTTCATCCTGTCTTCCTCTCCAGTGTTTCTCTCTTGTTTAAATAGCACTTTGCAACTATTGTATTTTGAATTGTTTACTTTTTAAACAAATATTCTAAAAATATCAAATAAGGGCGGTGATTATATATCATCCTGTATCTCTCTTCAAATCTATAAATGCAAAATTTTACCATACTGAACACATTAGATTACAACATCTTTAAAATAATTAAATTGTGTTTAGAAAATTGTTTTCAATTTTGAAAAGAGGAGGAGTTTTTAACGATTGAATTTTAACATTAAATACTCAAAAATAAAGTACACGTATGCCTATGGTGTAGAATAATGAAGAAAATTAAGACATTGAAAAATTAGAGATTTTAACTTAACTTAAATTTTATGGAACATGTCTATAATTCTCGTAAAATGCACTTCTCTAAACGAAAGGATTAGTATTTACGATAATATTTTTTATTATAATAATTTTTATCGAATAAATTTAGTAGTATTTACAGAAAAAGTGCATTGGAAATTAAGGATTTCTAAATTAAGATTTAATATGTACCATAACTTTTTTTCGGTAAAACTGAAATTTTTTATGAAACAAACCTAGAATTTCCGGAAAATAAGCTTCTCGAAATTAAAGATTAATATCTCTTTTTTTCTAATTCAATATAAACAATTTTATGTGAGTGAAAAATTTAAAAAATAGACATTCGCCTTTTTTAAAGTTTATGATTCAACTGAAACTATGTTTTATTGTCTTACACGTGTATGTTTATTCGTATTATCTAATAAACCAACTGAATATTTTGCTGTAAAAAAATTAATAATAAATGTTTATTAAAACCTTAAAATATGTCCTTCCAAGAAGCAGGTTCTGACAAAAACTTCGCAACTTCACAAATTTCTTTTAACATTTAGAAAACTTTCCGATTCGACAAAATGTGTATTTTCAATGCTCTGTTCAATTTTCACAAAATAAGATGCAAATTTAAGTATTAAAAAATTTCTGTTTGAGGAAAATGTGTTGCTGCAAATGCTTTCTTTTATTTTAATTTTATTACGCTTATTTTTTCAATTTATTCACACTTATTTCTGAGCGTGCATAGAACTGCCCTGATCCGGATTTAAACCAAAAATAAATGAAAACTAAAGTATATCATTAAAATGACTCTAAAAAGGAGATGTGTCGATTAGTCTGTTTTCAAGAAGTGTTATTTTATTTTATTTTCAGTCAAATTATTAAATAATTATTATGGAATAAAATAATATTTTCTTTTGATATTTCCAAAAACAAAACCAGTTTCCCTTCGGTTAAATACACCAATGAAATTGACCCACTGCCGTTTTATTTCAGATATCGGCCTTGACCAAACTAATGTTTGATCACCTTCAAAAAGTCCGCTTCAGTTTGACGAAGTGAAAGCAAAAAAACGTCGTCATCCTTGCGGTAAAGCCGCTTATACACATCACCTGAGTCCTTTCTCTGTTTAGTTCCAAACCAACTTCCTTCAAGAGCGGAACACTGCATCTCCGTTCTAAAAACAGGTAACATTCTTGGCATTCTTTCATCTTGGTTCTTCTATTCCTCAACAGATGGCAGTAGTATATCGTGATGTTGATTATGTTTGACACGTGATGATGTGTTTATTTTGCGTATGCTTAGGTGTATTATGTTTTGTGTATGTTATTTTGCGATGTAGTCGTAAATAGTGTCGGTTACATTATGTGCAATATAATTACTTCGATTATATTTTAGTGGAATCTAATCATGTTGAAGAATTTTAAAGTTTTAAATGTATATAAATCTATAAGTCATGTTGGTAAATTTTGCATACAAGATTTTAAGGTTACTCCGTTGATTCTTACAGTTGCAAACACTAGACAATTTAAGTGTTTTAGTACAGATTGTAAGTGTAAATGTTAAGGAAAGTTTTTTTAATATTAGATTGATACGACATAGAAATAATATTAAGTTTTTTTGTTGATAAAGTAAAAATACCTAATAAAATTTCATAACATTTCGTGGATACTAATCCTTCATGCAAATCTTATCTATTATGAAATGAATTTTATGAATAAAAACATATTTATATCATTATTGAATTATATTATATCGTTGAAATTTAAAACTCATGGTATATTTGTTTATCTTTAAATTTGTATTTCAGATAATTAAATATATTAAGAAGTAAAGAATATTTATTTTAGCATTGTTAATTTTTTTTGTAAATGTAACTTATAATTTTTAAGAAATATCAAGTCATTTACAGCTTTGCTTTTAAAGCATTTTTATTCAAAGTGATAAGTGTTAATGGTCTCTTCTGTTGTTACAAACAACATTAACTACCTAATTCATTTTACATTATAGTAAATATTGCAATTAAAGGATGGAAATTTTATTTAATTTTAATGAGTTATGAAAAATCTTTTTTTTCTCCAAACAAAATTTAAAAAAATAACACAATTGTGTTATCAATAAATATTTTATAAAAGTAAAATTGCTAAATTGTACACATATGCAAAGCTGCATATTTTAAAGTGATAATTGCAACAGTATGCATCATAGCAGAAATTCCAAAAATTGCAGAATTACCTACAAAAAAAATTTGCAGAGAATTCTTTTATTTATGCAAAATAATGTACACTAATAAATAAATAATTTGCAGCAGAATTAAACTCTTTTAGAATAACTAACAAGATAGAGAAAGGACCTTTAAAATCAGTGTACCATCTTGCACATATGTCATATGTGTAGAGTTATTGAACTATTAAATAAAACTGAAAGTTAACAATGTTAAATGACAAAAATTTTTCCTGTTTAGTAATCATGGTACTAAATATTTATTCCAGTATATTGTAGTAAGAATTAATATAGTCTAATGATTTTATAATTTATTTTTATTCTCTGTTAGTACACCCATTTTCTTTTTATATAGGTCTGCAAGTTTATAGTTAATTACTTTATATAGCTCTATAAGTTAGAGTTAATTATATTTAAAATAGCTAATTATCGATTAGCTATTTTAAATAAAATTTTGATTCTCTAGTTTTTATTAATCTTAATTAATTTAAAGGAAACTTTATTTTATCATTTTCACTATTTTTATTTCTACCCTTTTTCTTCGAAATTTTTCTTGCCTTAAGGTTATATTGATAAATTAGTATATCAATATTTGTATTCAGCTTTTCCATCACATCTATGAATACTGCATTTTTCGCTTAAATTTTTTTTTTTTGTAGTTAACTGAAATTACAACTACATTATTACAGATGTAGTTGACTGCTACTACTACTACTTTATTGCTAATGTAGTTTACTGCTACTGGTGATGCTACACTTATTTTGAAATGTAGTCGCTAGAGACTACAGTATTTTATTTTTTTTTAAACATTGTTAAGGATCTCGATTTACACCCATGTTCAATAGGGTTTTGAAAATAATTTGACTTAGTTAAACATGAGAAACTATTAAGAAATATTTATTCATGTGTATATGAGTCAGTTTGTTATTCTAAACCTTTTTTTTTATGAATTGGTGCTCTTAGCCTTCAAAAATTAATTCAAGAAATGCTAAGGATCTATGAAATATTTGCAATTTTGTCGAGTGTTTATACTTTATTATTTTCTCTGAGCAATTAAGTACACGAATAATTACAGAGAAAATATGCTCGATTCCCTTGAAAAAGCATCAAGTATTCTTCAGAGTTCATTCCAAGGTATGACCAAAATAATAAATGAAATATTATTCGTAATTGCTAGTTTAAATATTATAGTTATTATATATATAGGATATATTAAGTGAAATAACTCGCAGCTTTGTAATTCTTTCAGATTTGATAAAAATTCTTGAACCTAATTTTTTTACTTAACTGACGTTAAAAGTATTTGCCAGAAATCAGTATAAGCTGCTATTTTTTTTTATCACTGCTGACTTCACTACTTCTTTTAAAAAGTAGCACACTGCACTATAAATTACAGAAAAGAAATGATTCTAGTTTTTTTTTTATACTTGTAGCTCACTACTTCCTACCATTGTGATAAGCAAAAAATTTTTTTTTTCAAAAGTGACTTTTTTACTGTTTAATATGATTTTCTGATAAATATTTGATAAGTTTCTAAACTTTCCATTAGAGCAGTGTTTTCCAAAGTGTGGTACGCGTACCCCCAGGGATACGGGAACAGTTTAGTGGGGGGACGCGTTCTTATGCGAAATATCTTGCAACAAACAAAAATTTTTATTTAAAAACAAAGCTAGCCATGAAAATTTACGATTACGTATTTTTCTATGGCCTATTTTTTGCCGAGTTAACAGTTAATAATTAGCGGCGTCAATAGCCAGTTGTGATTTTTAACTTTTGTGCAATTTTTATAGTAAAAAAACATTCATTTTTGTATTAGTGGTACACAGGGTTACGTAAAATTTAGAAAGGGTACACAAAAGTCATAAGTTTGGGAAACACTGCTTAGAGGACAGAACAATACATAAAAACTTCGTATTGCCTACATGGGAGTTGTGGTATTTTGCATAAAAAAGGTTTTCCATAACAACTTAGAAATGTGGCTTATTATTTCTTTGCTCCATGCCCTAAATAGAAAAATTTCTGTAACGATGTGGGACGAAGCGGTTGACACCCAAAGTGATTGGAAAGTCTTAGAGACAACCGAGTAGTAGTCCGTGAAGAACTAAGAATAACATAAGAGATTAAAGCTCAAACTTGACGGGTAAAACTCATAGTCAATTCTGGGCTAGTTAGTCGCTGAATCTTTTTTAAATTATTGTTAAGTACAAGAATCGGGCAATATCACTTGGCTATTTATAAAGGTATGTACAAGATGAGGTAAAAGTTTAAAAATGATAAATAGCTGTGAAAAATACCTCACTAAAATTTAAGATTTTAATGTGTTTCAAAAATTATTAAAAGATCATCAATAAACATATTTTGCTGTTTTATGAAATATTAACGTTAACCGTAAGAGTAACTGTTCTGTGGAAAATGTGTTCTCATTTTAACATTAGTCTTGTAGAATATTAGAGATTTTCTTTTTGAATTAAGAAAAAAAGTAAAGCATTCCCCCAACTGGATTCCAGGGGAGTGATGGAGCTTAAGGCTCCACAATTTTGTGACCAATGGCATGGTTGTAGTGATGTGGTCTGCAATTGTGCACAGGCCGCTTTTACTTCCCAGCGAAGCTAGTACCCATTGATCTGAAACTGGGTGAGCTTCAAGTGTCCACTGTGGATCGATCCCCAGTTCTGCACAATGACAATTCAGTGCCTTAACTATTGAGTCAAATATTTTTAATTTGAATCAATTTTTTTTAAATATTGAAATATGTCTATACTTTATTTAAAAATTAACGAGAACTTTTGCCTAGCTTCAAGACCTTAGAAAAAATTTCTTTTTGTCTTTTTATTAGGGTTGAAATGATTTAAATCACTCAGCGGCAAAATAATTCAGATTTCTCTACATTGCAAGTTTTTAAAAGGCTTTTAACAGACATTTAAGCTATTTTTGTTATGTCAATTTCCTAACTTAGAGTTTTTGGAGCAAGCTCAAAGAAATTTTGAAACTGCCCTTCGAAAACAGACAAAAATTTTTTAATTCGTCTTAATGTCAGAAAAAGAGTTGAGATATTTCATCCACCTCTTTTTCTTACAAACAAAAGATTTTGTGCAGAATTAAAAATGTTTATTCTTTTTTATGCAAAATATTTTCCAATGCTGCATTGACTGTATAATTTTTTGTATTTTTTTCATTAAAATAAAATATTCGTCTGAAATATATGCTTAGAAATTGAGAATCTGATTTGTGTATTTGAAGCAGAACGATCAAACTATAAGAATGTTCTATAATTTTCTAAAAATTTTTAATTGTATTTTATTATTCTCTAAAATTATAAATTATTTTATTATAGTTTTGTATTTCTGATAGAATCATTTACATTATTGATGCGAATTTATTATTAAATAAAGAATAATAATGTCATATGAAAACTATGATCTGGATCATTTGAAAAGTCAACTGACAAAAACAATTGCTTATTTTTGATAAAACTTGGAGAGGGATCACAAAAACTATTGCATAAATCACCCATTCCTTACACCAATGCAATTTTTAATATTTTGATGTTTCGAAGGTAATTAGGCGTTGTTTTTGAAACTAAAGAAAACACCATAAAAGGGAATCGGTTTTAAAATATTTAATAATAGGATTTTTTAAAATATTTAACGTGTAAACATAATAATTTATAATATTTTACTTTTTATTGCAGTGACTAACTTTTATTTTGACTTATTGATTGTTTTTAGAGTAGTGAAATTATTTATTTTCAATAGTTTTCTTTATTTTTAATTTTTGTTTTGCAGCTATAATGGCAAGTCAACCATGGAGAGAAGCATCAAGCTTAATCATAGCATCTCGTCTATCACTCCACGATGTCGTTGCTAAAGGGAAGAATCTTGCAGAAGTCATGGGCTCAGCTAAATGGAACTATACCAACAAGCAAAGCACTCCTGATTACAAAATACTCCTGATGAAAAGAAGTGGCTTAAGCTCATTCATGGCTAATGCTTTTGTCTTTCCTGGCGGATTGGTGGAAGTAGCTGACTTTTCACCTTTATGGTGGTCTGTGTTCGACAAACTAGGTTTTAGTAGAAACGAATTGATGAAATTTTGCTCAAATTTTGGTAGTCAAAGACCACCAATGGTTACAGACCCAGTAACTTTGAAATCTAAACAAGCTGAACCAAATGAAGATTACCTGCCGGCAGATATTGGCTTCCGAATTGCTGCTTTAAGAGAGACATTTGAAGAATCTGGAATAGTTCTGTTAACAAATCCATCCCTGGAAACTTCCCAAGAAGCAACAACGCACACCCTCTTATCGAAGAACATCGACATCCGGGAATGGCAAGAAAGAGTTCACAATGATGCATATGCATTTTTAGATTTATGTTTAGAAACTCATATGTGTCCAGATATCTGGTCATTGTATGAATGGTCTGATTGGCTGACTCCTACTTCTGTAGGTCACCGTCGTTATGATACTATGTTTTATTTGTGTTGTTTGCCTCGCCAACCAGATGTATTGCTTGATCAGGGTGAAGTTACTGTGATGAGAGTATGTTACTACAATTAATTATTATTTTTTTATTTATTAAGTTTTATGCAATTAATTTTCTATAACTGATCCTAATGATAATTTTCTTTTAAATAAGATTTATTGTTTTATCTGCAATAAGCAAATAAAAAAATAAAGAAAACATCTCGAACAACCGTGTATTTAATGATCAGATTCACTTTCTGGTAGCGTGCATTTTCTGAACATTAATGAAATGAAATAACCTTATATTTTTAGATAATGTTAGGGGTTTCTGCTACAGTAGTATTTTTTCAAAAGACTCATAAAAAATGCTAAATAAAACAACACATCCCTTTTTTTTGTTGCTAAAATCACACATGGAACAATATTTATTAAACAAAAGGAATAAATGATGATTCACTACAAACGAATGTTGAAAATAAAAGGAAAAATTATAAAACTTTGATTCCTTCATGAAAGCTTGTTAAATGTTGCTCTTTATACAAATGGCTGGAGATTGAAAAGACTAATAATTTACCTTCTCTCAATTACGTTTCTGTTAAAAGCATTTGCTAACTTATTATTTTAGTAATTTTTTGATACTTTTTTTTTAATTTTGGCTATATTCTATTTGGCTATGAACCAACCCTGGAATATGTTAAAGTTTTGTTTATTTTGAAAATTACTTTTTCATGTCTTATAACTATTATATATATTTGTATATAACCATCGTTGAACAGCCGACCCAATTTTATGAGTTTATGACTACTTATGTTCAACTCCGCAACCTTGTCATTTTGAACCCAATCCAGAAACAAGGGAACTCCTGGATCAAGTGTTGGGAGAAATTTGCCTTCGTGGAGGATTTTTTGATGGAGATAACCCACATTTGTATTACATGGAGAGGAAGACCACGAGAGCCTCCCACGGTTAGCCTAACGGCAAGGGGACTCTAACCCATGACCTGTCTACCACTGAGGATATTTCACGTCAGCACTGTGGTCATTGAAAGCCGAATCCGGAATTCGTATCGAGTGGGATTCGAACCCGGTTCGCTGCATTGGAAGGCAAAAGCTCTATCCTCTGAGCCATATCGGCTCTAACTATTATATTTATCATATTTGAGAATTCCTTGATTAAAAAAAAAACTTCACTGACTTATAAAAATATGAATTTAATAATTAAAGTCAGCATGTTTCAAGCACTGAAAAATAGGTGTCGATTATCAAAATTTGCCAGAAAGGAAAGGGGGAAAAAGTAATTTGAAATATAAAATAGCTAAAAAAATAATAAAATCAATTAATTTGTGTTTTTAATAAGAGAGTCAATAATATGCCAATTCCCTTTTTAATGACTGGTTCCTCACTACCTCTTCATAGCACATGGAAATGCATTTTGCCCTAATTTGCCTCTCTCAGCCACAGCAGTTTTTCTATATTTGGTTTTTCATCTTTATTCAATTTTCTTTTTCACTCTTGGCTACTTTGGTTTTTCTAGCTTTATTTGTCACCTTTATTCTTAATTTTTTGTTTGCAAATCCCTTTTTTCGTTTTTATGTTTCAAATCCCTTTGTTTTCTGCAAGCACATCTGGCAAATCTTAAAAGGCTCCTATTTTTTAGCACTTGAAATATGTCCAGATTTGTTACCCTCCTCATATTTTTGTAACCAATGAAATTTTTAAACAAGTATTTCGTTTTTGAGCACTTGAAAACAGGCTCAGTTTTATTACTATCTTCATATTTTTGTAGCCAATGATGTTTTTAATCAAGTATATTTACTCCGTTTCAGTTTCTTGAAATTATTTATTTACCATTTAAGAATTGTGTGTAGACATTCTGGACCAGTTTCATTATTTTAATTCTAATTAAAACAATTATACTGTTCTGAATAAAAACTTACATTTTCTTGATCTTAATCATAACTGCAACAATTGTATCGGAGTTGATAATGACTTTATAAATATGGTTTTATTTATTTATATCTTTATTTTTTTGTAGTGGGCCACTCCAGATGAGATGTTGGAGGATAATTTAACTGGCACAGTATTCCTTGCTCCTCCTCAAGTATACGAGTTGTCTCGTCTCTTACCACTTCAGTCATATCATGATTTAAAACAGTTTGCCAAAAAGCGAGAGACTCAAGGCTGTGAAAGATGGATGCCTATAATAACCACTGCTGAAGATGGTGCTATATCACTCTTGCCAGGTAATATTATTTGCGTCAAAGTTTTGAATTCATTTTACGCATTTGCCCCCAAAACAATAATTTGCAAAAATATTATTTTGGGCATCAATATTATACTTATAATGAGTCATTTTTTGTTAATGCCGCCATGCAATTTGAAGATTAGTTGTAATTTTGTCTGAAAATGGCTATCAAAGTCTTATATTTATGTCAAGATAAGAATAATTTTTATTGTTACAAATTCCACTTTAGAAGTTATTTTCCCACTTATCCCTGCCGGCCGGAGACTCCCCATGCAGTAAATGGTGACTGGTGCATGTTAAATATGTCTGGTCACAAAGTACTCCATGTTCCTATAACAAATCAATACTTCCCGGACTACTGATCTAGGAGCTTGCTTGTTTTCTGGATTGGTATCAAAATTGCAAGGATATGGAGTTGAACATTGGTAATAGTAAACCTAGAAATGGGTCGACTGTTCAATGACGGTTATAAAATAAAAATTAAAAACAATGCCCAAAATTACATTTTTTAAAGTTTTTTTTTATTACTATTACATTCATTTTTTAAAATGGTGTCATATACTTAGAAGTTGAGTTGCAAATTCCTCTTAAATTTGTTGAAAACTCAATTATTAGGGTAAATGTGACCGAATTTTAATATAAAAAAGGACACTTTAGAAACAAGTTTCACATCTGCTGTGCGAAATTTATTTAGTTTCTTTAATAAAATAAAAATATAAAATAAATATATAAGCTGTGCGTTATAAAATAAAAATTAAAAACAATGCCCAAAATTAAATTTTTTAAGTTTTTTTTTATTACTACTACATTCATTTTTTTAAAAGGTGTCATATACTTAGAAGTTGAGTTGCAAATTCCTCTTAAATTTGTTGAAAACTCAATTATTAGGGTAAATGTGACCGAATTTTAATATAAAAAAGGACACTTTAGAAACAAGTTTCACATCTGCTGTGCGAAATTTATTTAGTTTCTTTAATAAAATAAAAATATAAAATAAATATATAAGCTGTGCGTTATAAAATAAAAATTAAAAACAATGCCCAAAATTAAATTTTTTAAGTTTTTTTTTATTACTACTACATTCATTTTTTAAAATGGTGTCATATACTTAGAAGTTGAGTTGCAAATTCCTCTTAAATTTGTTGAAAACTCAATTATTAGGGTAAATGTGACCGAATTTTAATATAAAAAAGGACACTTTAGAAACAAGTTTCACATCTGCTGTGCGAAATCTGTTTAGTTTCTTGAATGTCAGTATTTTCTACATGAGACAAATTTTCTAAATGGTGTCATCCAGTTTAGAGATGATCTTGAAAAAAAGAAAAAAGAAGCAATTGAAATCTCAGTTTCTTGTAGAGAATGTAATAAAGTTTTGACAGAACAAAAATTTGCAAAGTCAATTCTGTTTTGGTAGAATAATAGAACAAGATACTGAAACAAACTAGCATTAACATTAAAAGAGTTTAATTCAGCATACATGTTTAGTTGTAATTTTTATTTGGTCATTTGGGACTAATGCTTGCCTGCTACTTTTAAAAACATTTTTGAAGTTAAGACAAAAGTAACTAAGTCAAGTCTAAGTATTGAGAAATAGCTGGTCAGAGATAACCAATATAGTGTGTACAGTAAAAAACAAAAGATGTAATTCATGAATGTTTAGTACATTTTTTATTAAGTTAGTGTCTATTTTAAAATCAACTTGCACAAAACCATAGAATAAGAAAATAAATTTAGATTTACTTTGAATTTCTTACCTCTATATTCTAAAAGTGAATTTTGATTTTTTATGCTAACCTAAGGAATAAATTGAAAAAAAAAATCAAAAATAGAAAAAATATTATATTTTAAACTCTTAGGTAATATGTGTGAATATATATTTGAGTTAGTAAGTTCTAAGCCCATGCTTCAGTTTTTTCCAACTTTTACATATTTTGAAATTGAAATGTAAACGTTTTATAAATATGCTTTTTTTATAACAGTGTATTCTGCAACAATTAGTAAAACGTTTTTTCTCAATATTGCATGTGATCATTTATCACAAAATCCCATCGTAATCAAACAATTTTAGCAATTTATAGATAAAAATATCATATTGATCTCTGAAGCCATTCAAAAGCTATTAAAGAGAAATTAATGTATAACAATGGACTTAAGCACTAGAATCTCATGAAAGTGGCTTAAGTTTAAAAACTGCCACTGGTGCATTTATTGACTGAGGAAAAACAATTTAAATACAAAGAAAGTACCAAATTCTTGATCTTGAGTTATTATTAGCAAACACATATACAGATAGGTTTGAGTTGATAAAGTTTTGAGCACATTGCTTCTTGTTCATATAATTATTATTTAAATTGAATGTTACTTTTTTAATTCCCTTATGCCTGTATTTAATATTAAGTGGTTTTTTGTTAATATTTGTTATAACTGTGATTAATTTAAAGAACTGATTGTTATTTAACATGATATAAAATGCAATTAATTTCCAATATGATTTCATTATTAGTATTGTCTAATTTGAGATTTATTAAATTACAAGTATTGTTAATTTATTGGTGACTTTTTAAACAAAGGTATTCATGTTTGTTTAAAAAGTCCAAAAGAAAAATAATAAAGTTGTCATAATATGCATTATTTGTTTATGTTCCGAGCAACTTTTGTATCCTAGTAAAACAAAATTAATATTTCGATAAAATTTTATTTCACTTTTAACTATTAGTGAAATTAATCATTGTTCACTTTGCTTCATTTACTTTAAATATTTTAAACACTTTGTAACAAAAAAATATTTGGTATAAAAAAAATTAAACACTTTCAATTTAAAGTTAAAAAATCAGAATTTAATCACAGAAATCTATTTTTTATGTTAAAATGCATATTTTTTAGTAGTTAGCTTTTTTTATATCTCTGGTGAAAATTGTAATTCAGTTAAATTTTTTATAACATTGTCTTGTAAAGTGTTAGAACCTATTTAGTAATTATTCAGAACTATCTGTTATAATTGGTTAAAGGTGAATTATGTTTTATTATAAAAATGTTAATTATGCTTTTAAGCATTTTATATCAATGCCAGAATTTAAGGGAGGTGTTCTCATAAATAATAACTACTCATATCAATTTCCTTAAGGGACTCATTTTATTATTGTTTCTCATTAAGAACTCTGCTCTGATATCATTGTCATATACTCGCAAACCTTTACTTTACATGCTAGGCAATGCTGCAATAATAGCGTTTGTGGCTAGGCATGGTCAGGGGATAGATCACTGCTGTTGACTGAGTTTTATCTCCATAGATGATATTTTAGTCTTCCCTCGGCTAGTATAAGGTGCAGAGGTGATTGTGCTCCTGAAAAATCCGGATTTTTCCCTAACTGCGCTCCGGAAGTTTCCGGAAATCTTAGGTGCAGAAGTTTTAAGAAATCATCGATCTCACATATGTATAAAAATTCTTGAATATTTTATTTAAAAATATTCGAACTGGGCCATGGCACAGTATAGATCAAGATGGCAAAAACTTATTGGGATGACCTTGGCCTGTCATAGGCTGTAGTGCCCAAGAGGAACTAGAATTTATACTTGGCATCTTTCATTTGTAAATATTCTTTCTGGTGGAATAATAAATGTGATGAGAGATAAAAATAAACTTATACATAATTATTCATTTAAATTGTGCTGTATATAATTTATTTAGAATTCAATGTTTTGAAAATATCAATGATTTAAATTTATAAAGACATTATTCGTCTTTAATGATTTTACTCAAGAAATTTTTCGGATTCACCCCTGAAGGTGTAACCTGGCTTGGGGCTGATGGGTAAATTGAAGCCCAATTTATTGTAAAAATTTAATATCCTTTCACAATCAAAGAAATATTTAGTTATTATTGTTAATAAATAACTAATGTTAAGCTAGTAACAAAACATTAGTTAATTTGGGCAATATTTTATTAATAAAATAAATTTAAGACTAGACTATTCATATGTGCACACTAAAGATAAAGCAAATAAGTATAAAAATAGTTTTTTAAATGAATAGAGCTGAAGTTTGAAATAAATGCAATAGTACAATGCAATGTAATCATTTTGTAATTCATAAAAAAATTGTGCCTTAATATTAGCATCAAAAGAAGTAGATTTTATTACTCCTAGCTCTATAGATAAAAATGCCTCTCCTTTAACATATTTGATTGTAAATCTTTTTAGACAAATTTTAGTTTTGAAAAAAATTTTTCCAATTCACATTTTATTACAGACATCACAAAATGTATCTTCATATTGGTCTATGCATTAAGGAATGCATCAATAAAGTCATTTTCAAGCATGTATTTATTAATTTTGAGACAATTTTCTTCAAAAATATGTTTATTGAAATCGTTAAGATAAACCATTTTGAACTCTAAGTTTTAATTAAGATCTTCAATCTTCATGATAAATTGTGATGTAGTTTTTCATGGAAAATCCCTGAAAACGAATCTCAATCAATGAAAACTATAATCAAAATTATAACAAACTTATAGGGGAAGCAAGGTAAGACCAGATAGATAAGATTCGAAGACTTGTTGGAGCTAAACTGTTTGACCAAGAAACTGTCAGTTTTAATCAAAATATTCACTGTTTAGTTATATATAATATATAATACCTGAAAAGTCATAATTGTGCTACATTTTTTATAAATGATTTTTTTCTAGAAAAACCCTTACATCCATGTTCCTTGTTCTTAACATTCTGTATTATATTAGAATTTGAGTACTTGTGACTTAATACTTCTTAATTTTTTAAAATTGTGGCTTTAATCAATAGAAATAGAGTAGTGACAAATCAAATTTAGTAATTTTGGCGTTTGATAAGTAATGAAAAGGAAACAAAGTCATGAAATATAATGGGGACAAATTCATGTTTGTGAAAAGTGTTTTAAGTAAAACTAGCTAGCGTTAGAGTAAAAGGAAAGTGAAAACCATTAAAGTCTCTCATGGTTAGCCCAAATGGCAGTAGAATGATTTCTCTCTGCTAGTATATGTATTTTGCATGAGTACTGTGATTTCTAGTGGCAAAGGGAGGTATAAAGTTCAGCCATGGCATCTGGATTTGGTAGCATCCATTCGAAAGAACACTCTCTTTAGTTTTGATTTTTTTAAAACACTGCCATTAGTTTAATTTTTTTATTTTTATGATTTCAGTATCAATATATGTAAGATAGCTTGATATTTTAGATTTAATACCCAACATTTTCAGTATACTCACTAATTTTGCAGATTGTTGATGAACATCTTGCTATTTTGAAGTTGAAAATAGGTAGGAAAAAGAGTTTAATGGAAGGAAAATTTTTTTTTTCCTATTATTTCATAATTTAGTTTTAGATGTCTTATTCTTATGCTACTCTTCGTTTTTTTTTTTTTTTTTTTTTTTTTTTTTTTTTTTTTTTTTTTTTTTTTACATTCTCTCTCTTGCCATTTTTATACTTATTTATTACGCAGAAAAGTTTTTTAAAAATGTGCAAGCAAGTTGACTAGAAAGTTAAAATAAAGGGTGTTCTATCCNCCCCCCCCCGAAAAAAAAATCAACTTTTCACTTTCTCCTTTGTTTAAACTACAATTTTTCAGTTTGTACGAAAGATTTTAATTACAGGGTGCTTATTACAGGTTACAAAAATAAGCACTTTACAAAAAGTGCTTATTTTTAATTTACGTTTTTAAAAGCCCTTAAAGGTGCTTTTTTTATTCAGAGTTTGTAAAAAGTGCTTATTTAAAAAGAGACTTTTTCTTTGCCATGTTGATTGTCATTTTAAATTACAAAAAATGCATGATTTCCACAATTTTCACTGCAATATTTATCAAAAACTAGTTATTTTATCATGATTATGTAAAGTTTTTGAAAATGTTTTTGAATTTTCTTGATTTTATGTTTAAAAAATTAAGAACTTAACGATAGAAATTTTTTTATTTTTTATTGCTGCACAGATCCTAATTATAATTTTTTTTTGGAAAGTAATTAAAAATATTTTTTGAGAGCTTAAAAGGTGCTTATTTTTTGTTGAAAAATCTGGCTACGCACCCTGAATTAAGTTTCCTTATATCCATATTCAACATCATAATGATTACCAAAGTGAAATGAAATTAGTCTAGAAGCTTCACATTCCATCAAAATTGTCTGTGTTTTCGTATCGCCCGCTTAATGATGCAGCGCAAAGAGCACTTGCCTTATTTTTTTTGTTAAGTTCTGAAAATCTCTCTGATATTATGTCTGAATTCCAGTATTCAGTTCAAATTAGAATTTTATTTCACAAATTCTTTTTACAAAGTATACTCAGGTTTTATGGATCGATAACTTATTCCTGGAATATTCTTGAAAAGACAGACAGTTGTCATCAATATTAAGCTTTATAAATATACCAAATCCGATTGCATAATCGAGTGCAAAAGCACCACAACAGACATTTCTCTGTCTGTAAAGCAAACTGAAAGTATAATGAACAGATCTGGTCTAGTTTAAGTTTGCAGCGAATAACAGTGCTCACTTTAAAAGTGGATTGTTTAGAAGTAATTTCTAAAAGAAAGTGCAATATTTCATTGGTTTAGATAACTTTTGTTTATTTCATCTGAATCATAAACCTGAGCAGCTTTCATAAAGTTTAATGCTGGTTGACTAAACTTTTATCACAAATAGGCTAAGTAAAAGAAGACATTTTGCTGAAAAATTGAAAATCTGCTCGTATTCAGCGAATATGCATACATTTCCGAATCTTGCACATCTTTGCGCAATTTATAGGGTCCTAATTATGATGCAAATCTCTACTGTACTTATTTTTTTCATGTTATTTCATTACTTAAGCATTTTTGTGCTTTTCAGTATCGCCATGGTATTTTTTCTTCTTTTTTTACTGCAATTGTTATTGTCTGTTTTCTTAAAATTCAGCATCAACTTAATGTATCAAAATTTTTTTAGGAGATGATTTATATCCAACTGACCCAGATTTTGAAGGCATAAGAAAACCAATTGAATTTGAAAATGGTTTGGAAGCTTTGAGGGCAAAGTCTAAAAATCTTCACCGTATGGAAATTCGTGGTCCACAGTGCACTATGTATTGCAATGTTACCCCTTCTTGTGGACATTTGCAACCCCTTACCTTTAAATCTTCACAGCCTATCGTCCAATCTTTCTTGTGAAATTAACCACATTATCAGTTAAATGTATATTTTGTATAAATATATCTTTTTTTTTATACTCATGTTTGTATATGTTATTTATAAAAAGTAAATAAAAATTAGTGTAAGTACACGACAATTGTTTCTTATATGTTAATAGCTAAAATTATTTGTATATTTGCTTTTAATTCTGTAAATTTCTTATAGGGCTGTTTATTTTATAGTTTTATTAGTTTAAATTATATTAATATGTAAGGGAAATTTGTATTTGGTTGTTCAGCTTATTTTAAAAAAATAATCTTTTACTAATTTACTTTTAAAATGAATTAACTGTTTTATTTGGTTTTGTTACTTAATATTTTTTATGTAGTTTTAGGCAAGCTGTGTCAATTTATCGAATTTCTTACATGCCATAAATCATTTTAGGCTGAAATGCTTCCCTGGAAAAATGGCTAAATTGCTTTAAAACTAAGGATTCTAACGTAGGCGCTAACGCACCCTAGGGACATTGAAGACTCCAAGGGAGTGTTAAAGCTTTCTGGAAAATTCATAAAACTTACAGAAAATAATATTTTAAATAGGGTGCACATAAAAATTATTTGTTATTTTTTCATTTATTTTTGTTTGTATTGAAAAATTAATATCGATTTAACTCTGCATGCATTATATGTTATAAGCGATTATTAATGTGGCAATTTATTGAAAAAAGAATTACTAACCAATTAGGTGAAGACTTTGCTTACTGTTCTACACAGAAAAGTTAACAACATGTTCAATGACTTTTTTTTTAATTTCCTTTTCAAAATTCAAATTTGAAACTTTTTTTTAAATTTATAATAAATTTTGATATTTTTTTCTTTGGTTTGAAAATTTATCTCAAAATTTTCCTTTTGAAGATTTGTAAGTTGGATTTGTCTTTATTTTTAAAGTTTCACTATGACACGTAACTATAGGTCTGATAACTGTTTTATAGATCTTCAACTTGATTTCCTTCGTAAGAAGTTTGCTCTTAAATAAGTATTGGTAACAAATATCTATTTACTTTTAAAGTAAAAACATTTATTTCTTTTTTGTATCTTGGAGTTATATTCTTTTGGAATATTGTAGTACCATCGATAATTGAACCAAAGTAGGTGGAATTGGAAACTCTTGCAAACATTTTATTTTATAATCAGTGTTAATCAGCCAAGCCAATTCTGAGTTTACGACTATTAATGTTCAACTCTGTAGCAAACTAACCTTCATTGAAGAGTTTTTGATGGAATTAACCCACATATTAATTGCATGGAGAAGAATTCCATGAAAAGCCTCCCATGGTTAGCCCAATGGCAAGGGGATTCTAACCCATGATCCGTCTACCTCTGAGGATATTATATGTCAGTACTGTGGTCAATGCAAGCTGACAGCAGAACTCATCTCAACCATCCACCGCTGGGATTCGAACCTGGGGAACCTTATTGGGAGATACAGGCTTTATCTCTATAATCAATTTTCAAACTTATAGTTATCTACCACAAGCACTAATGAAATAGTGTTAGATTTTCGTGCCATAACTTTTTTTGGTCATTAATTACAAGATCTATTTTATTTGTTGCGTTTATAAAATAGGTAGTAATGGAATTTTAAGCAGTTCTGTTTGTACTTAAAATGACAATATCATCAGCAACAGTACAAAGTTGAATGGTCTTTGTGATGATAGAGCCAAATATCAGACACAAATATTGCATAATCTGTTTTCAAGTATTTTGTATACGAACAGGGGCATAATCAGGATTTGCTTTCTGGGGGAAAGGAGGATCAGATTATTCAGATATTTTCCTCAAAAGTTTAGGGGTGAAAATACTATTCCCGATCATATTGAATAATTTTAGGATTATTTTATATTTGTCAAAGTTTACCTATTTAGAAAATAAAAGCCTCATATTTCATTGGATATGTTTAAGCAAAATGAATATTTTTAAGAAGTCATGATAATATCTTACAATATATTAACTTTTCAGCATGAAATTTGTAGTGTGTTTTGTAAACATTTTCTTGTGTTAACATTCTCTTTGGCAAAATCAATGTATTTCGATTTTCGTAGATTGAGGTCAGGTGAATAAGCATGTTTAGTTGTTATGAAATTCATAAAACTTTTATCGAAATTACAATTTTAGTAGAATCTTGTGTCCTTACGTGATAAACACGAGTATGGCATACGACATTAGCTCAAGATTAGAAGCTAACGTGTTAAAGTGTACTGTTTCTTAAATTTGTCCAGCTGTATAAATATTGCTTTCAGATGTGTAAATATTGCTTTTAATTTCTTTAAAAGCAATATTTACACATCTTTTTTTTTTTTTTTGAAAAATATTAATTTAGTTCATGTCAGTACAGTGCCGATGAAAAGTCTTTAAACTTGTAGCTGTGTTTATCTTGTCAAGATTTTATTTGCCGGCTCTCTAATAGAAAGCCTAACAAAAAAATTAAATGTGCAATTTAAATACTTAGTGTGAACAAAGCAAGATATATTTTAGTTTAAAAAAAAGTGGTTTGCAGGTTTTACAACTGTGCAGTACAAATACTTGGTAATTATTTCCTTAATTTGGCTGAGTTATATAGCTATAATACATGAGCAGTTTTAAAAAAAGTCTTAGTGACTAAGGCATAGTCATTTATTTGAAAAGTATCGCATCTATTAAATTAATCCATACAAAATAAGTATTTGTGACTGTGAAGCAATTAAAATCTAATTTTTTAAATATTTTATGTCTTTGGAGAAAATTAGTTTCATATAATTAGAGTTACATGAAACCAACAAGTAGTATTAGCTATGGGCGAAGCCTTCTAGTACGGACAGGAAATATGAAAAAGTGATAAGTAAAAAAAAGCACTTCCGAGGAAACTAGTATTTGTGCAAACTGTGTCGACTTAAACTCTTTCCCTTTCATTTTTTTATTAGTTTTAATTATTTAGTTTCCTTAGTGCCTGCTTTAGTGTACATAAAATGCTCGTCGCCATAGTATATGCTATTTTTATCAATTTGCATTAGGAATTACAATTAATTAGATTAACGAATATATTTTTATGCATAACCAGCACTTTAAGCATTATTTTTTTCTCATTAAGTTCCTGAACCTTTTATGGCACTTTTTGTCTAAACATATCCACCACAACAAGGTGATGATGCATCGAATAAGATTGATTGTTAATTGTCCTGTAATACCGAATTAAATGCGGGCAGTAAGTCTGTTTTTACCAATCTTTTGGCTAAAAATTGGGTGAAAAGCGAACAATAATTTGTTTTCTCTTTAAGTAAATAAAATCAATTGTTTTAAAAGGTCACCGTACTGGTCAAAAAATAGGAATAGCAAAATTTAATAAAAGAGACGTAATAGCATTAGTTTGGTAGCAATTTTTTGAATGAATTATGAAATGGACATCCATTTATGAAAAATTGCATTAGTATTTCCCGTTCAACTTTTCAATTAAAAGAAGAAGAAAAATTTTTAAAGATAAAATAGTTTTTTTTTGATGATTATTCTCAACGTACTCTTCCATTTACATTTCAATGAAATTATAGTTTAACTTATCTTAATATCACTCTTAGCTTTTTATTTAGTATTATTTTCAAATTATTATATACAACAAAAACAGATTTTGAGCTAAAATAAATGCTGCTCCAAGCCTACGAATTTTATCTAAATTTAAGATTATTTTTGTTAAGAAGATGAAATAATTTTATTCTTCACATTATGGTTGCAGAAATACAAATATTAAAGGCAATGTTTTCAAATTAATTAAAGCTTTATTAATAATGTGTTTACAATTGCTAATGAACTTTGCTTATAAAGTAGGAATTCCGTTAAAAGGAGGCCGATCATTTAGGGTTCCATAGCCGCAAGAAATTGGGAACCATTACTGTAGATGCATATTAATCCTCAGAACAATCTGATGTTACAGCTTTTCTCAGAACAAGGTTCAATCAATTAATCTTTCAATTCAATTAATACAAAAAAATTATTCTTTGAACACAGGCATTCGTAAGCTCCATGGTGAACAAGGTTCAATGTTTCTAGTTGAACTGTACATGAGTTTGGTAATAAAGAACTTAGATTCTTTTTTATTCACATTATAATGTCAGTGTATATTTTAAACGATTTTTAAAAAGTGCTTTAGTAAGAACACGACGTTGATCGTATTATTCCATTGCCACTATGAATATTAAATATCAAATCACTAGTATATAAGACATGTTAACTTGATTCTATCTCGAGGTACCTTTTGATAGATGAAAGTTGACATAGTCTAAAAATAAATTCCCTTCAATGGTCATCCGCACGAGGAAAAAATAAACCCGGGGATATAAATAAAGTTTCCAGTCAATAAACAATATTGAAGAAAAAAATAATGAGCGAAATGCTATAAAAATGAAGAAAGCTATTTGTTTCATTTATTTAGAAATTACTAACATAGAATATAATACTTTTGTACTTTTAATTCTTTAACTTAATCGTATAAAGATTTGTGGTTAAATTTTATAACTCAAGAGCAGTTTTAAGTTAATTTAGAAATTTAATATGTACAAAATGAGATTATAAACGACAAAAAACAATTTTAAAATTTCTTGTAAACGCTGTTTTTTTTTTATATCAATTTGTTCTTAAGATATCAAAGGCATATTATTTATGTTTGAAATTATAAATACTTTAAAATTTTTATGCATCCTTTTTTATAACTTATACAATAATTAAAATTTAAAAGAAAAATACATATAATTTAATAATTAACGTTGGCAGTAGACAGTGTCTATATAGAAAACCTGGATAAGTCAGAGAAATTTTTCTAATCCTGAAAAAGTCGGGGAAATTTTTAATTTTCAGAAAAAGTTGGATAACTTATAAATTCCCTAGGAAAAAATAGAATTTTTTTAACGCAATTTAAAATTTTTTTAGATTATTATTTTTAATAATAGCAAAAAATGAGTGCACTATCTCGCACTGTTAATTTTATTCTCGATAATACTTTATAACCAACGAAATTTTCTACTTTAGTTAAGTTGGTGTATGATAAAAGAACTTTTAAAAAATAAATGAAAGAACTA